TAATGAATTGAACTGTGGTCTCCAAAAAGATATGTACAAGTCCTTACCCCTGGTACCTGTGAATGTGACCTTATTTGGGAAAAAGTCTTTGTAGATATAATCAAGGATCTCAAGATAAAATCATCTCAGATTAACCAGAAGGGCCTTAAATCCAATGGCAAGTGTTCTTATAAGAAGAAGAGAAACACAAAAGAAAAATGTAGGGGAAGGTCATGTGAAGACAAAAGCAGAGTTTGGTGTGGTGTGTCTATGAGCCAAGGAGTGTGGCAGCCATCAGAAACTGGAAGGGGCAAGGAAAGATACTCCCCCAGACACTTCTGGTGGAGTATGACCCTGCCAACACCTCGATTTCTGAACTCCAGATCTGTGAGAGAATACATTTCTGTTGTGCCACCAAATTTGTGGTAGTTGTTACAGCAGCCCTAAGCAATTAATACAGATGCCGACCATAAAAAACCCCTGATGAATTTCCTTATGCCGGAGACTGAACAGAGCCTTGAAAGGCAGAGAAATGAGTAATTGGCAATCTGTGATATATAGTTCTAATGAAAACGTTACTTCTGCCCTTTTTAAAGAGGTACAGTCATTTTAAATGGACTGAAGCAAAACAGTAATAAAAACTAACTCAAAAAACCAACCACTACATGTTCTCTCTTGTATGCAGGAGCTAAATGGCCACAAAGATGGAAATAATAGACACTGAGGATGCTAAAAAGCGGGGAGGCAGAAAGGGGTGTTAGGGTTCCGAAATTACCTCTTGGGTATAAGGTTCACTATCTGGGGAATGGGTCACCTGAAGCCCAGTCCCCACCATGTTTAGGTAATTTTTGCTTTTAAAAATACCTATATGGTTACAGGTATATATTACATTTTACCTTATAAAAATTGAATTTATGTAATTTTATAAAATAACTACATAAATTTATAAAATAACCTAGATAACATTCTAAAGCAAGACATGCACTAATTTTACTATATAATGTTTACTTACTATAGAGCATTCTACTATTCTTTTTGTTAGTTTGGGAAATATTTATTGGACACTATTCTAAGTTCTGAAGAAAAAACCATGAATAAAACAAAGTATCTGTTCTCAAAGTGTTTCCAGTCTACTAGGGAAGCTAGTGATTAAATAAATAATCAGAGATATACTTTTTTAAAAGAATACTTTTTAGAAAAATAAACCATGTTAAGATGATACAAAATTACATGGTAAATTGCAAATAAGATATTATAGAATGGAAAAGAACGATGTTCCTACTGAAAATCATAAAAACAAAAAAACAAATATTGTATATGTGCATGTTTAAAGGCAAATTGTGGGAACAATAAGGATTAAATAAACAAAACCTAAGTGGGAAGGACTTGTTTCAAGCAAACATAGAATTTCTGGTCATTTCTTATTCAGTAATGCTTGTTAACTCTGGATACAGATTGAAGATCAGGTCTCCATGCAGCCTGAATGAAAGAATGGTAATGAAAAAAGGAAGAACCAGACAAATTTTAGGAGATTGCATCTAGTTGGAAAAATTCTGAAACTTTGCAGAATTGGGGTTTTGCTAGCACCTAAGTGGATTCTTAAAGGCAGACTGAAATTTCCCATAGTCTCAAAAAAATAAAATAAAAATAAAAAATGGTGCCTGCCTCAAATACACAACTGGTTTCTTCATCAAAGCATTTGCTGTATTTGAAAGTCACTCAGGAAAGGTAGCTTGAAATATTGGGAGAATTCACACAATGAAAATTAGCAAATTCTACAAATCAAGGCTCTTTTCTTTCCTTTATTTAAATAGTTGGTTGTTTTACATGCCACCGTGCATAAAACTTTTGTCGTTGTTTTAAAGGTAGGGTCTTACTCTTGTCACCCAGTTTGGAGTGCAGTGACGTGCTCACAGCCCACCACAGCCTTGACCTCCTAGGCACAAGTGATCCTCCTGCTTCAGTTTACTGAGTAACTGAGTCTACAGGCATGTGCCACCATACCTGGCTAAACTCAAGGAGGGTTCTTGACAAAACACACACACACACACACACACACACACACACACACACACACACACACAACATCAAGAAGCTTACTTGTTTAAGACTTTTGAAATCAGAAGTAGACCAACTCAAACTAAAAGCATTACCTAGGCCTATCTGAGTCAAATTTATGCGTTTTTTAAGAAAGAGCAAACAGCCTTGTTGGTAAGAATAAATAATAAAAACTTTAGTAATTATATTTATTTATTTAATATGATTATAAAAATTAAAAGACACATGAAGAAAAAAAAAGATGAACAGAAAGAAAGTAAATACCTAGTAGGAACACTTAGATTCATATGTTACAATTAGTGTTAACTTCTTTAAAATAGGTATTTTAGGCCATGCTTTTGTTAAGCTATGGCCCAGGCCATGTGTTCACTGAGCTACGGCCACCATGCTTCTCTTTAAGTTCTGGCCTCCTCCCCAATTTGGAGGAGATGGATCTCCTTTTCTCTCTCTCTCTCTCTCATCTACTTTCTAAATAGACTGTATTTACTCATCTAAACAATTAAATAGATGTTTTAGGGATATTAAAGGAACTATTAAAGACATTCAAAAGAAAATTGACTCTATAAAAAAATCATTTGCTATCCTAAAATTGCATAATAAAATCTAACAATTCATCAGATGATCTAAAGAGTCAGACAGAGTAGAATACAAGCATACTAAATGTAAAGAAAGTTTAATATAGAAATATCCAAACGGAAGTATAGAAAGACAAAAGTGTGTAAACAACAATGAGCAAAACAGAATATAAAAAATGTTTGGTACAGAGTCAAGTGATTCAAGATATGTCTAACAGGAATTTCAAGAGGAGAAGAGAGAATGGACAGAAGCAGTATTTGAAGAAACACCAGGTCAAAGGTTTTCAAAATTTGTGAAAGAAATCAACTCACAAATTCAAAATCTCAGCACACTCCCCAAATGGTATATACAAAGAAAGCCTATACTGATACTTTGCTGAAAACCAAAGATAAATGCAAAATCTTAAAAGAAGAGAGAGAAAAAAAGATTTCTTCCAGGAGAACAGAAAAATAATAGCTAAGACTGCAATAGTAAACACTGAAACCTGAAAATAATGTCTTCACATTACTAAAGTGCTGAAAATTAAATGCCTACAAATAACTCTATACCAAATGAAAATATACATCAAAAATGAAAGAAAATAAAAACACTTTCTTAAAAATAAAGCAGAGCCGGGCTCGGTGGCTCAGCCTGTAATCCCGCGCCTTTGGGAGGCTGAGGTGAGTGGATTGCATGAACCCCTGGGCAGCGAGACCTCACCTCTGCAATAAATCAAAAAATCAGCCGGGCGTGGTAACGCATGCCTGTAATTCTGGCTACTCGGAAGGCTGAGGCAGAAGGATCGCTGGAGCCCAGCAGGTGAGGCTGCGGTGGCCGGGAGCGGCCACTGCATTCCAGTCTGGGAGACAGAGTGAGACTCCAACTCAAAAAAAAAAAAAAAAAAAGCAGAGATGATTCATCAATAACAAACTCAACTATAGAAAAACACTGATGAAAGTTGTTGAGCTAAAAGAAACTGACAAAAAATATAAGCAAAGAAGTACAAGAAGGAATAAGCATAATAAGAAGTAAATATGTGGATAAATTTTAAAACTAGTGAAAAATAATAAATATTATGCTACGTATATTTTACAGCAGTGAGAAAGACCATTGACAGAAACAATAATGACTATGTTTTGTAGTTTTTATAATAAATTCAGGAGTAAAATATGCAAAAATATTAGGAAAAGACAAGAAAGGTTAAATGGTTGTGATATTTCTGCATAGTTTGAATGTGGCAGAAGTATTAATTATGGAGAAACTGTAATAATGTAAGTATGCCTGATGCAATTGCTGTGGTAATCAGTAAAGTAATAATATTGAGATATACAACATAACTAATAGAAATAATATAATGAGTTCATCAAGATTATTTGATTAATATAAAAGAAAGCAAAAAAGAGGAATGAAAGGACAAAGAAAAAATGAGATAAAAATAAATAGCAAGATGTTAGATGTCAACTGTAATAGTAATAACATTAAATGTAAATGGATTCACCACTCCCCTTAACATACAAAGATTGTCTTATTGCTCAAGTATATGGTGATTACTTTTAATTAAATTGGACACATAAGTTGAAAGTAAATGTTGAAAACTAATATACTAGAACAATATTAACAAAAATAATCATGATATTAATATGTCAGTAACAGGCAAATAATAATATAAGACAGAAAGTATTGCTAGATAAAAAGAGGCTAATTTCAAATTAATAAAAGAACTACTACTTTAACA